TGGTGGCAGATGTGCCCCTGCAGCCCATGGAGGTCCCTGGTGGAGCCAAGATCCACCTGCAGCCTGTGCAGGACCCTGTGTCAGAGCTGGTGGAAATGTGAGGGGGGCAGTGACCCTGTTGGAAGCCCACTACAGAGCAGTCTCCTGTGTATCATGGAGAGAGGAGCCCATGCTGGAGCAGGTTTGGTGGGAGAACTTGTAACCGTGTGGAAGACCCACACTGGAGTGAAGAACTGCAGCCTATTGGAATGATTCATAGTGGAGAATTTGTGAAGCATGGGACAGATCCCATGCTGGAGCAAACTAAGAGGAAGGAGAAGCAGCAGAAGCAACTTAATGGACTAACCACAACCCTCATGCCAGTTCTCTTGTGCCACTGGGGGCGAGGAGGCAGAGAATTCAGTAGTAAACTTGGGCCTGGAAAGAAGGGAGGGGAGAGGGAAGGTGTTTTAAGATTTGGGGATTATTTTCTCGTTATTCTACATTTTGATTGGCAGTAAATAAACTAATCTCCCTGAGTCTGTTTTGCCTGTGACAGTAATTGGTGAGTGATCTCTCTGTGTCCATATCCAACTCACCAGACTTTTCTTTCTCTCCCTGACCATCAGAGTACTTTGAGCATGACTTACTTCTGTGCTTTGTTTTCTTTGCCTAACAGCCTGGCAGGAAAACAGACATACTCTTTTACAGACAACTTTAAGAAGTTGTTAGAATCATCTTTGAAAACCAAAAAAAACACCAAGAAAATCTTGTTAGTGTTTCCTGATTAGTTTCTTGGAGGTTCCCAAATATTTGTGCAGGTAGCATGCAATTCTGCAGCTTCTTCAACAGCACTTTACTGTCCAGTGGTATTCAAGGTACTGATACCTGGATGATGTTACACAAAGTAAAACCAACCAGGTGGCTCAGCTTTAACCAGGCACTTCTGTTCAGTGTATGTCTGCACAAAGATACTACAGCCAAAGTGAAGTAAGGCAGGAATTGTAAAATTGACTTCCCTAGGCATTGCATTAAGTTGTGATTAGTAAAGGCTAATGCTTTGATAATTCCAAACTGAAATACAAAACAAACCTGAAACTGGATACCCCTTTCCTCTATTTGCACTGTGGCCATTTCTAAAAATATTTAATGTAAAATCTTCCTTGCAGGTCTTCCACCATTGCTCCTTGGCCCCTTACTTCTGTCCCTCATCCCATATGAGACCTTCAGAGACAGGCCCAAGCATCACCATGTGAACTGAACAACTGAAAGCATCTCTTTTTAGTGAGGAAATGTTTGTAGTTAACACACCTGGGTGCCCACAGAAGAGCAGGAATGGATGAAGTTTACAGACCTGCATGCAGGCAGAGTCCACTGAGGAATCTGCAGCTGCAGTAAGAGCACAAATACTGTTTTGGCCAGCTTTGCTGGTGCCTTTCAAAGGCAGGAAGATGCCTGTAATGTTTGGGCTGCTTCCCCTCCAGGAAACAGCTAGTCCTGTGTGTCAGGGATTGATGCCAAGGCTTGCATTAATTCACACCATGGCTGAACTGGACTTCTGACAGACTTCTCAGCCAAAGTATGAGACACCAAGAGAAATGGACTAAAAAGCTATTTCTAGAATAACTTGAGTTCTTCCAGCCGTATCAAGAAGATAAAACCTCTGAAAGGATGTCTTGCAAAAAATGCTTCCTTCAGTTGTTGACTTTGATTAATATTTTGTTGGCTAGTTTCCTTAGTGTAAAACTCCCTACCAGTAACTCTCACCTTTTAAATGACAGACTCAATGTATGACAATGTAAATGGAAAAAGACAGTGACATATTTTACAACCTTGAAAAATTGCCCATCTCTTACATATTCACTGACAGTCAGAGTTCGAAGGTGATGACAACATCATGCTTGGATATACTGAGAGTCAATCACCATCTGACCTGAAAAACAAATGCCAGTGAGGGTGTGTAGGGGGAGTTCAGGTCAGAGCTGGTGTACATGGTAAACCCCTCAATCTCAGCACCGGTGATAAATGCCATCCAGCATTAGTAGGTGGAATTAAACTTGGCTTGCAGAGGGGACCAGTGGATACAAACACTTTCGGGAACCTCTTAACTATTTCCTGGGGAAGGGCCCAACTTCCACAGTATGAACTGCTTCAAGTGTCACCTCTTGGAGCTGGGAGAACCATTTAAGAGAACAAAATCCTAAAGGAAGAAATTACTCATATTTTGTACTTCTTAATTTTTTTAAGTGCTTAATTCATTAAGTCTACCCTAATGGGATTTTAAGCCAGAAATTACATTCACTGACTTTAGTAAAATAGTCAAGTGAATTTTGTACTTTTCACCTATATTCACTAACACATTGAAAATTTTGGTTCCTTTTGGGGATCTTCCTGATATGGCACACCAGAATAGCCTACTTCACCATACAACCAAAACTGGAGTCGCTTTTCTTTAACAAGGCATTTTAGCCCAGGAATATGAGATTTTGGGACAGAACTGGGCATTGCACAGAAATGCTGAGTCCATAGCTTCATCTAACATTTTCTGAAGCTCTAGGCAGTTAGGTTCTTTTACTTACTAGGAAAATGGCACCAAATAAATCCAGGCATTCCAAGTTGCATAGTCTGACATTTGTATGGTGTTAGGGTGGTCAGACTCCTCCACAGATTTCTGTCACTTAGAAAATGTTTTAATTTCTGATATACTAATTGTATTCAGGATTGGGGGAAGAAAACAAAAGAAAAAAAAGGAAGGAATGTTTATTCCACATTACTCTCCTTATGCTTTTGTTGCAAGCAAAAAAAAAATTATTAAAGTACATTTGGTGATTCTCCCTGTGTCATTAGTCACCTAAACTACTGGACTAATTGTTTTAAACCCTTCTATGATAGCTGCACATCCAGGAATCCCATCATGCCCAGGACACCCATTGATTTGTGCAGGGAGAGACAGAAATCTGTTCCAACATGGAAAATAACAGTCATGGCCCTCTGCTCTAGAAAGTTATTATTCATGGGCATTTTACATTCTTTTTTTAGCTCCATTATCTACAAAGAGGGGGTTAGGCTACAGTATGTACAAATAGCATGTGCAGATGAAGCTCAGTAGCACAGCAACAGAGATCATAGTTTAAAAACTATATTTGGGGCAAAGACCTATTAGACATGTTACTAATTAACCTATTTCCAACAGCAATACAGAGGCACTGCTAAAGAGGACATTATCAGATGGCTCAGCATACTCTTTATCAAAGTCAGACTTTGGAGCATAATCTACATGCTTTAAAACTGCCATCATAGCATCACAGAATCACAGCATATCTCAAGTTAGAACAGATACGTAAAGTCCAGCTCCCTGCCACTCTAAAGATTACCTAAAACGACCGTCATGAGAGTTAAATGTATGATCACTAACTCCCTTAAAAGACCAAAAGTCGTCTAGTTTTGGTCAACCCAATGCTAAATAAAAATTACATTCTTGGCAAAACTGAAATCAGAAACCTCTTTGTTCTCCAAATCCTGTCCTGGCAGCATGCCTCTTTGCTAGACAAGAATTTAATCCAGGAGATATAGGCAAGTGTGTATAAATAAGTGAACTGGATTTTCTGTAAAATTAGATAAAGTTCTGGAGAAAGATTAAAGCAGTCATCTGTTTTATCCAGTTCTTCAGCTTGATTTGTTTATCTCTAGCCCCGTGTGTATTTTAAACTCATGAAGACAAGAACAGATTATCTTGACTTTGCTTTCCAGACAGTTGTTCAAATTGGGGCAGGAGATGGCAGATCAACAGATCTGAAAAAGACTCAAAGCAACTCTGGCCATGTCCAAGCCAGGGAGATCCAACTTGCACTAATTCTGTTTAATGATAAAACCACCCAGATCCCAAGTGAATAAGGAATTCATTGGGAAGCTTTCACTGCTGTTGTGTACTATGTGTGGCACAATCTCAGGTTATTGGGTGTATGCCTGTGTGCAGCACCCTGCTACACAGGACAGCCTGCACCCACTGGCTATTGACAGATGGCGAAGTGAGGGACATTTTTTAGTGTTTTTTCCTGTTGCTCCTCTCTTTGCTGTCAGTCTTGTGTCAGAGGGAAGACCTTATTTTCACAGTAATTTGGCTTGCTGGGTGACACGCCTCTGTACCTTGCATGTGGGATCCAGGTGAGAGAGCATTCACACATTAACAGATGTTAAGTGAAGAATGAGAAGAAAGGCTGGCCAGAGAGGTGCAAGAATAAAAACTGACTGACATCAAGGGGCGGGGGATTTGTTTGGGACCACTATGCTATGTCCCCCTCATCAGAGATCCTTCAGCTCTGTCCTTTGCCCAGGAGACACTCCAAGCACTGGGGTCCTAGTCTGGCACTGGTTATCACACCATACCTGCAGTGCTGGGCCAAACCCCATCTGCCTCATGGAGAGTTCTTGGCATGCCAAGTCACCAAGTCAACATAGGCCAAGTGAGAATGGCTTCAGTGGGTCCCTATTTGAAAGGGACTATGTAGGAAAAACTGTTTCATAAGGACTTAGGGAGAGAAGGACAGAGAGTAACAGAACTGTTCAGATCCCTTGAAGGAAGGCACTGAGGTGTGCTTCTGTCTCATCAGGTAGGTCAGAATTGACAAGGATACACAGGCACCAGCTTAGGACTTGCTTCCATGTCATCTAAAAAGCATCCCCCTCACCAAGCTGACAGGATTGTTTTTAAGATAAAGTTCAAAAGGTTTTATTTCAGTTAACTACTTTTCAGTTCAAGTAAACTGCTTGAACACAGTCCTTTGACACCTCCTCAGGATGCTTCACATGACTCAGAGAGGTCACTTCTCAACTGAACAGCAAAGGGTGCAGCCTGTGTAAGACAAGCAAAGGCGGATCATCTTGGGCAAATTTCTTCCAGTCAGCAGGAAAAAACCTCATGTGGGCACTGTCCAGCCCTCCCTGCCTTGATTTACCAATTTAGCTTGTTTTCCTGCAGCATTTCTGGATGATGACAAATCACAAGTAAAACAGGAGAGGAGTAAAACAGCATAATGAAATTTTATTCTGAAAATATGGCAAGAGTCTAAGGCACTTCAAACATTTCAATACACTTGACTAAAGTGAATGTGACAAGGTAATAGCATTCCATAAATACGCACCAAGAACTACACTCAATTCCACTCAAGGGGAATATACAGCTGGTACCTCTAATTTTATTCTCCAATAAACATGTATGGAGCTTATAGACTGAAACCGTTAATAAAAATATGGTAACAGGACATGTAATTCTTCATGTAGGTTTTAATTATTAAGGAATATAAAATGTTGAAAATACTGTGTGAGTTAATTTTATAGATACTAATATCTTTTATATAAAAAGTTATACATTATCCCCAATTAGCAACGACTTATTTAGTGAACTTCCGACCTGACAAGAGGCTCTATCCCCAATACCTACCCATTCACCCACCAGCTCAAGATCCATGGAGCTGACTACATAAGCAACTGCAACTTCTGAATTTCAAAGTAATTAAAAACATGAAAATCATGTTGGAATGGAATTTATGAAAAGTTTACTGTGATGAAGCCTAGGCACAGTAAATATCTTTTAGAATGACTAAAAATAAGCCACTGGGACACCCCTGCATGGATAGCTTTAGAAGTCACAGTCTGCACATAACATAAGAAAGGATAATCTACAACAAAGAAAAACAGGATTTATGCCAGTGTACAGAAAGATGAGTATGTGAGCAAAAGTAAGATTCTCCACTGAGCACCGCTTAACTATATGCTTGCTTCAAGTTTATGGTTTTCTACCTTTAGCACTAGATCTCTGCTTTCACTTTGCTGGTGAGTTCAGGCACAAGACAATTACATTCAGTATCTGTCTCAGTAAAACAGTAACATTTAGCAGCTTAAAGATGGCGTAGAGATTTTTTACAGATATTTATATGCTACTACTCAAACGTGGCTCTGTGGGTGGGACCAGGAGATGTCCTTCTGCTAAGCCTAGGAGTGCCCTAGAAAAAAAGAAAGAACAGTTAATCAAAGAGAAATTATTCCAGCCAGTGGATAGAAAACACAATACTCAGAGTTACTCTGTTCAATTCCTTACCTTTAATTGTACAGGTAATTTTTTTTTTTAATTTTAGGAAGAAAAATGCCAGCTATCATACAGCCTACTAAGCACAAGTACATATTGTCTAGACGTTGAGGTGTGTAGAAGCAGTTTACCAGGAGAGTGAGTCAGGGCTAGAGGAGAGGTAGGTATCTGCTAAAACACCTAGAACAGCTATGTTTCAGTTTCCAGGTGAATAATTACCATTAAAATGATACAACAGCACCTCTGCACACTAACCAGAATCAGTGAACCTTGCTAGTGAGCTATCTGTACCCCTTGGTAATTAGGAAAAGAAGCAGGAACTATCCCTCAGCCAGGCTTCAACCTTCTGCAGTCAACATGTATTTTAAAAAGTACATTAACAGCACAGATACTGTTTTGCAAATAAACTCAGAATTTCATGTGCCGTACTGCTGTACAGCTGTCAGGGAGTAAATTTCTTGTTTACATTTCACTATGATGTTCAACAGCATCAAGTTAAAACATAACCTACAGGAGGTTGTGTACTAACCGGTGACTGGGTTTTGGAAAAGTTGACGTGGGCATAGAGGAGAACTGCTATATCCTTATGTCCAGCTTCCAGGGCTATTGAAAGTGCTGTGCTGCCATCCTGAGAGAAGAAAGGAAGAAACAAGAGAATTAGTGCTTGTATGCTTTAACAGATCTCTTAAAAGCCCCATCAGCCCACAGAGAAGTAAAGTTATTAAGTCGAGGCCCTACTGCTCATACAGACAGGTTAATTTAGAGTCTTGTTTAATTTCTTTTGTTTTAAGCCTTGCACTGCTGCTTTATGAGGCAGTCCAATTGTCAAAGCCTCATAATTTCTCTAAACGAGGAGTCTCGATTACTGCTGTGGAAGAATGAGCACACTATTATCACAGTGATGTTACATGTAGTGCTGTGTAAGACCAGCAGATTAGGCTGTCTCAGAGAAACTACAATGTCAATAACAAGTGGAAGAGATGGTAAGGGAGGGAAAAATGCTAGTCAAATATAATGATAATTGCTGTGTTCAAATGGTAATTTTTGTGGCATAGCTCCCATCAACACTAAGAGAAATTGCACTCATAATTCCATATGCTCCTTGATGGAAGTCTAAATAGAAACAAATGGACTTGCCTAGTCAAATACTGCCACCTCAGTTTCTCAGAAGATACCATTGCTTTCAAAAACCACAGCTGTTGAGGGTTCTAGAATCAAAAAGTGCTTTAGTTGAAAGAGTATTTTACTGAACTGCTGTTTTTCATTTGGACCATGTTTTGGTCCAGGAAGACAGAGATGTCAGGCAACCTGTGATGTGAATTTGGTGCTTGGTTCGCTGCCTGGCTTTTGGCTCTTGCATACGGAAGTCTCTACAATAATGCAAATATTTGAAATGTCTCACAGCGATGGAGCACACATTCCAGTCACTGCTGTAGCACTGGAATTGGAACAGCTGGCACCAGTTTTTAAATGCTAAACCGTTTTCTCAGCATGGGACGCAGTGGATAGTATCCACATGGAAAGTCTTCTTATGAGACCGAGGGGAGCAATTATATATAAATCTAATTGTCTTGAACAGACAGGGAGCTAGAAGAGCTGTCTAGTACAATGCAATATAATGCAAGACAAATGTACAGCTAACATTCTCCAGTCAACACAAATTCTTAAAGAGAGGTGCTGAATCGCTGCAGCACACATTATTAGGATGATGCTCAGCTTACTACTGATCATGCAGACTGGAGAAGAATCATTGTGACACTCAGAATAGCTAGGGGAAGGCTAAAAATCTCAATCCCACAGCACAGATCTATGAATAAGCAGCAGTCAAACCGTGCTTGGGGAAGTATCAAACTGGCCACAGGAATAGTTAAATATCTATACCCCATAAAGATTGTAGTTATTGATTTCGTATCTGATACTGCTAACAGCATCTGAGCAGCAATAATCTAGACTGCTCCTGAAAGTGTTTGTTAGACTGAGGTCTTCTTATATTTTCCTCTCCAGCCAGATGTTCCACACTGCTAGCACTGTAAGCAACTGAGCTGCCTCCTGCAGAAGATGGGTGAATGAAGAGAAATTATGTCCTTGCCTCTCTGCAACAGCTTCAACAAATAACCACCCACTGCCCTCCCAAATCCCAAACCCGGGCTCCATTTCAGTGTTCACTGGGTAAACTAATAGGAAGAAAGAAAAAGTATGCAAGAAATGTTGTTAACGAGAACATAGTAGTGGCAAGAAACAAACTAAGTCAATGTTTTCAAGCTTGAGAAATCTATAGATCAAATTGTCAGTGTAGGCTGCAATGATCCCTGCGAACAAGAAATATGCGGGTGTCTGACTTGGCACTGAAGTCACAGTCTGTATCCATTTATTGCCAGGACAGTGTAGCTTCGTGACTAAGATTGAACCTATGGTCTCAAAAGCCAGGGTGTAAGAACAGTATGAACATAATTTCAAGAGAATTGTTGGGCTGATGTTTGCCACGGGCACCGAAAAGCAACACAGTGAGGCCCTAAATCACCTGATAAGGTCCTAACTGAAAACTGGGAAACTCCTTTGAAAGGGGGAAGGAATGTGAGAGGTAAAGATATTTTACTATGAGCTAACAAATGTTTGGTTTTTTTTCTGTTCAGGCCACTAAACACCTACAGCTAACCACAAAAATTGCTACCAGGTATGTCTGTTAGAAAATAAAAATACTAGCCAAATAATCATAGCACTTGCTAGCAATTAAGCAGAAGATTCATGTGGTTGGTACTCTGGCACTCTGAGTCAGACATTCACCCAAGCACATTTCAAAAGCACCGAAAGGCAACTCACATTGTCCTCCAGGGTGCTGTTACACCCAGGCTGAGCCAGCAGAAGCTTTACAATCTCCACGTGTCCGTGCTCACTAGCACACATCAAAGCTGTAGAGCCCTCATCATCCTGGATATTGACATCTGCACCGCAGGCCAGTAAAGCTTTAACCATGTCTATCCGGCCATGACTCACAGCTAGCATCAGTGCAGTCTGACCAGCCTGCATGGAGAAAAAAGGAAAACCCTAATAACTACAGAGACAATCAGTGACAAAGCATGAACGCTTTTTTTTCTATGTTTCTTCTGGGGGAAAAAAAATGTCATTTTAAACAGGACTCTCAAGGCTTTGATTGACATTATTTAAATAGCTTTTATGGATCATATATCCCACATTCACATAACTATTTCTTGAATTAATGGAAGATACCCAATCTATTTTCAGACATCTGTAGTTTTTCAAAGGAGCTAAATGCTGCAGAATTTGTAAATGCTGCCCAAAATTCAGTAATAGTTCTTTCACACAGTGATCAACCTTCATTTTTAGAAGAGGTGCAGACCTGAGGCTCAACTGCTCTTCCACAGCTCCATTTTGTATATAGCAATCAAAAACATACATAAAAAATCCACAGATGATGAAAGCAAATGAGAGCAACATTTGAACCAATAAGAGCAGGGATGGGAGCATGGAAGGAACAATAAAAAGGCACAGGAATACAGCAGTAAGAATGTGCCTCGTGAACCGTTTGACTGACCTGGCTGGCTTTAGCATTCACATCCCCACAGCTGAACAGTTCCTCCACTATCCTCATGTCCTTCTCCGCTTCCACAGCTGCAAGTGCAGCAAGCATGATGGGGGTATAGCCAGCCTTGTTCTGATGATTTACATTACAGACATCTGCAGAAGGATGACATAATTTCTTCAGAAAACAAGAACCAAAAAAGCAGTAATTGTGCTAACCAACTGAATAAACTGTCAGTAGAGCAGCCTATAAAAAGAAAAAGTAACAACTGCCTTCATAATGGAGGCAATTCAAGGGAAGGTAGAGAAGCAAAAAAATTAACAGAGGGCTCTTGAGCCACAGAAAGAAAATAATTCTTTTGTACTGTGTGTTCAACACAAGAGAGAGCACAAAGACATTTTATATGTTATCATTTAGAGCTTTATTTGTACATTACTTTTTTCTTTTGTAAAAGCAACTGGTCTGAAATTTAGCATGATATTCAGAAACACTGTCAGGAGAGTCCTTAAGTTCTTCTCCCTAGGGCATCCATACTGCAGAATAAAAGTGGTCCAGAAGCATGGTCAGTGGAAAAGATATTTCTCTTCAGCACAAACATTTTCCTGCAACTGGTGTTACTTTAAAAATCTGCAAGTGTATTTCAACATGTTTTTGAAATGCCAAAAAACCACCCCTTTAAATTAAAGACTGCTGCCAGTTCTACAGTGTATTTGACCACAAACAAAACTGCTCTGGGAACAAATACAGGCAAGTCCTCTGACCAGTGCCAGCAAGTGACAAGATTTCTCCTTTTTGTTACCTTGCCTCCAGTCTGTCTTTGTTCTTAAAATTCTGCAGAAATTCAGCAGTGCTTATTGGTTTACTGGGCAGCAGGGTTTTCAGTGTGGTCATCGTATTGGAAAGCATGGACTCAGATTTACATAAACATTATTTATAGACTAGAGGTTAAATTGCACCACAGATATCTTAACAAGCAAAAATAGTTTAGGAAATTCTTCAGACTTAGGGCCACAGTATATTTTTTTATCAGTCAAAAGAACATTTCAGAAGCAATTCAAGTGCAGATGTAAGATATTGCAGATTTTTTTCATGTTAAATAGACATCAGTGATGATACCTTATAACCAGTGAACCAATACTATTTCAGACATCACTTCTGTGAAGCCACTGAAGCTAGAGAACACAACACTCTGCTACATGCATTACATCCTGAGTAATGAATAACTTTTGGAAGTGGTGCGCTCCTACTCTGACTACTGTACTTCAGCAGACTGTGTTTTCTGAGGTCACATTTAGCTCCTTTTCTACATGGCTAATGAGGGAAACTTTTCTCCTATTTGTCCTCTTGGTGACTCTGCCTCACGCTATTGAAAATTCTCTCATCTCACCTTGTCCACTCTGGTGTAAGAATCTATCTGTGGTATAACCACACTGCAAAACTGACCATAGTGACCATTCAGACACAGTCCAGAGGAAGATTGTGGAAACCTGAAAGAATATGCCTATTTGCAAACATTTTCCAGGTACTGGCATGAGCAGTGTTCTCCTGCAGAGAGAACTACCTGGGAATTACCTGTAACATGACTGTTACATTTTACAGCTAACACCCCTAGTGTTCATAGGCACACACTATATACACTAGCTGCCATAACCTGCAGGAGTCCTGACTTCCAGCAAGAGATGAGCATGTTCCTGCTGCTCTGAGACACCTAGGGAAGCAGAGGGGCAGCTCCCTCCCACCACACTGTGCTGCAGAGCCAGCCTGCCCTGTTTCACCACGCTCCTGACATTCCCTGCATTCCCCTGCTGTGACTCACTCTTCCCAAACACAGACTGCCTTCAAAAGGACCAGAGATTTCAAAGTGCTCACTTTCCTCTTGAGGAAGTCTCTGCATGTGTGACATATGTGCCAGGTTATCAAAGCTGAGATTTGTATCATTCATATCCTTGTTTATCTGATGCTACCTTTCTGGATTTATGAATATTTGCTTGGCTTATACTCCAGACATGCCATTGGCCTAGTTAAGCTTTCACAATTAACTGTGACAGGTTTTTTAACTAGTACAGAGAAACAAACTTCATTCAGGGAGCAAAACTAGGATTAAACAAATTAAACATCCATCCTGGGACCAACTGTAGTGTGTAACCCTTCTGCTGGATGCCATCTGGCATACTGAATGTGGGGAGCAGATACTCCAGAGTCTCCCCTTTGCCAGTACCCTTTCTCCATGTGTGTTGCAAGAGGATAAAGAAAAGGAAGCAACAAAAGCAACCACATGAAGCACCATCAGAGTGCTTATGGACTAGGAAAATGGTCTGTGTGACAGAATGCCATACTGCTCCAGTTTCTCGGGAAAGTAGCATAGATGAGTCAATGTGGTGGCCAAAAAAAAGTTCTGCACTGCTCTAGACAAAGCTAGACTAGTTTGCAGGTTTAAGATGGCATTTGTATCTCAATGCATCTTCCTCCTTCACCACCCTACAGAGTACTGAGCAGCAGCTGTGCTGCCTCCAGAGAAAACTGCTGGAGTCTGGTGCTGCTGAATGTGGGACTACAGTCCAAGAGTCAGGAATCTAACTATCTATCTCAACACTTATTTACTTAAGTGTTTTTTTAACTTATTTAAGTAGCATTACCTCCAAAGCTAGTACTAGAAACAAAGATTCTAGACCACTTAAATGAGCCAACTTCTGGAAGAAGACCAAACTTGGCCTCTAGTCCATCAAGAGCTTCACCCATGAGAATTGCAAAACCAAGAATAATTAAATAAAAATAAAGCAAACTTACTTGCATCCAGAAGAAGCTTTACAATTTCAAAGTTAGAATGTGAGACACTGTAATGCAGAGCTGTGTTTCCATTTCCATCTGCCATGTTGATGATATGTCTGAGGACAGCAGGAGAGATCTCTTCAAAAGCAGTTATGTAGTCTCCAACCATTTCAGGGACAGCTGACTTCTGACTTGAGACACGAAACCACTCATGCTGGATGGTATTTAAACAAAACCTCTGCCGAAACCAAGACAGAAAAATTTACATATGGACAATCTATTTAAAGGATTTTCTATCCCATAAGTCAGCAATGCAGGTCAAGTCTTTTTTAGCCTAATGTGGGAAGAAAGTATTCAGCTCACAAACAAGATGTACAGACTGAAGCTTCCCCTCTGACTAAAGCCCACTTTAAAACACCAACTGTTTACTTCCTCTGACTTCAACTGACTTTTGTCTCTGAGGGCACAGAATTTCAGGATGAGAATACTCCCAGAATTAACAGTTATCAAATACTGGTGAATAGAGAAAAAGACTTGCACAATGATTTCCATTAAATACTAGCTACGCTTATAAATCACTAATAAACTCATTATTTTCTCACTGGACTTAACACAACATCATGCTAAGTCAGGCCCAGTTCTGAGGCACAAATTATCAAATGCACAAAATACATGAGAACTGGCTGGACAGCAGTTCTGAAGAAGAGCTGAGCATTACAAATGATTACAAACTGAGCCCAACATCATATTGCCATGTAAAAGGTAAATACTGTTCTGGGATGAATGAACAGATTTATAGCTTGCATAGCACGTGATGAAGACCCTTCTTCCTGCCCAATACTGTGAAAACAACACATGGATCATGAATGACACGAAATATTTGGTTCAAACTGTTTCAAAGTTGCAGCAAGAACGAACAGAAGTCAAGGAAATCTGACCTACTGGACAGACAGGAAGGACTGGAGATGCTCTGCTGGAAAGAACCTCTGGGGAAAGAAACGGTATAACATTTGTTGCAGAAAAAAGGAAAATAAAGAAGAACCTGTTTTTCATTTCACCTGAAGGCTGGCTGGCTGTAGTCATAAGAGATTTTAGTTGCAGTGAGAAGACTGCACATTCAGGATACACTTTCCCATGGGTATGGACTGAGAGTGGAGTAGGAGCACCAGACCAGGTGACTTGTCTGTTGTGACAAGGTAGAGAGAGCAGATCTCACCATGAGCCACAGTCACCACCAGCTCTGACTCTGGGACACTTTCTCTAACCTGGAAGGACCACAATATCTTTCCCATAAACTCTGACCTGCAAGGTGGCCAGTAAATTCAAGAGCAATTCTGCAGAGAAAACTTTATCTAGCCTCTGGGGAAAACACACCAGTAGCTCTAGAAGTAGCCCGTGTCTGGTAAAGAGAAAATTTTCTATACACACCAGTGTTACCTATGCATCTATACAATGCAAACACATCAACAGAATATTTTACATCAGTGCTACTATAATGTGATGTATGTATTCTGTAAACATAGAGTTGAAATGCAAAAGTGGCCATAAACTCACACAACTTAATTTTTTAAATTATTTCAGGCAGTGCTGAGTTCTAAGTACCACTAAGAAACTATTTTTAGTTACAGTATCACACACATTAATAAACAAACAACACACTTTTAAAATTCAATTCAAATTTAAATTCAATTAATCCATCACATTCAAAAAGGTGTAGTCCACAGCTCTTTCTGTGTAAACAGCAGCTACAAGAGCTGAGGTTTGCTGGAAGAGCTTGGGACAACTTATACAGATCCTCAGCTATACTGACATTTAACATGTTTGGACAAAACTTCTTTATCAGCAGACAGACAGAGGACAAGAGCTGAATAGTCTGCAGCTACCACCTACAAGGCACTGCTTGTGCTAGAAAACACTTTAGGCACAAGAAAGAAAAATGTAAATTCAAATTACACTTCCAAGGCAGAGATCATCATCTGGCTTTGCCATTTTTGACATTTTCAACTCCAAGAGGGCCTAAAGCATTTGTTGTTTTCATGCCTAAACTACTCCTGAAGGACAAACAAAGAAATAAAAACGGTGTGTCACAACTGAATGAAACAACCTTTCAAAACATTCCCTGGACCACAGATGCCAGTACCAGACAGAGTATTAGAGAGACAGCATTACTATGTCATACAGACAACATTATTGTCTTTAAGAAGCTGCAGATGCTCTGTAGTAGAGGAGAATGACACAGAATTGTTGTTGCCTTTTATATCACTGCACAAGTGTAACAAATGCGAAATTCAATTTCCTATCATTGAGCAGTGTTCCTTTGCTTGCAGACTGCCCTCACAGAGTAGCGTAGGCAAACCCTATGTGAGGCATTTCCAATAAGACAAATACAACTTTATTTCTTGAGACTTGAATATTTCTCAAGTATTAACAATGAATCCTCCTAACTCTCTGCAGCGCTGATAAAAAACGCCAGTGCAGTAAAAAAGACAAACAACATCCCTGTGCTTAGAAGAAGGCAGATCACCTAGTGCTTCAGAACAGACTCTGAGGTTTCTTCATAGGAAGCAACAGGCTCTTCACCCACTGCAGTCTCCTAATGTGAGGCCTGAGAGCTGCCCACAGCAATGCTATACAAAAAAACCCACAGAAATAACACAGGAATGCAGAGGTGTGTTGAAACTGTTTTCATGTTGCTGTTTTTATGGGTATGCCTTGGGACAGCAACACTGAAGCACGCAAAGCACAAGTATATTCTCTGGATGAAAGTGTCCGGATAGAAAGAGCTTCGTGATTCTTGCAGGAAAGATTAAATCCTCTTCTGCCAGCCACTGCAGTGCTGGTCCTGTAAAACCAGAAGCTACCTCTTCCTGAAGTTTTTCTATTGCATCTCAAGAGAGAATTTTCACCTGTACTGCTTACCACATCTTTGTTGGTTAACGCCTTGGGGTCATCAATGTTGTTTCTCAGCAGGTTACAGGCAGAAAGCATCTTTTCACTTAGCTCGTACCTGAGGGAGAAAGCAAAATACAATAAAAATTTCAATTTTTATCTTAGCATTTCAGTATAGAAACATTTGTTTTTCTGAAAGTTCTCTGGGAATTAAAGTTTCCAGGCAAGCCATCTGCTCCTATCATGCAGAAGCCACTCTGGCAGCTCTTCTCACAGACACTCCCTCCATACTAAATGGAGATGAGTGTGGGAAGAGCAACAAGAACGGAGAATGGGAAACACATCACTTTTGTGCTCTAAGACTTGGCAACTCTTCTAGTGGAAATTCTCACCTACTGCTGTAGGACTGCAGAGCTCACACTGTATGCTATGTGCTTTGATTACTTGATTGACAAGGAGAAATGCCAGTAGTTGTGATGGAAACAGAATTAAGCAGTGGGAAACAGCTCAAGAGGTGCCTCCCTGTCAGCTCCCATTCACTGGAACTAGCTTTTCTCATCCCACCCACTCTGGAATTTACTCTTTACCCAGCTCCCTTTAATTTTTACACTTCCACTCCCTTGTGATTACAAATTTCAAAACTTATGGTAGGCCAAAAATAAGGTCAAGGCCTGTGCCACGTCATACCAAGCTGCAGCAAACTACCTTTGCCTACAACCTGCACAGTGGAAAATGGCAAGTTTTCCAGAATATTCTCCCAAAAAGCAGAGAAGCTAACACACTCGTGTGTAAGATGAGCATTTTAGCCCTCAAGGATTACAAGCCGGGTGCTAGTGCAAGCAGAGCAATGAAATTCTCCACCATTGCATGGACCACGGCCATACCTGGCCATGTGCCCTGACTCTTCCCCTCAGGGGGCACTGCCAGGGCAGTCAGCTTGCAAAGAACATGCTCCTTTAGCACACATGGCTATCTAAGCTCTTCTGCTGCTCCTCTTCCCAATCACCCCTTGCTACTGTAAATACAAATAAGAGACCTCTTTTGAGAGACTGCCCATTTTTTTCTGCCACCTGTAATAATACAACAGGCTATCCTATAGTACTGTATAAAGTAAGCACAGGGCTCTTCAAAATACACATCTCCAGGGCCTCCAAACTCTTAATTATTAATTTCTGCACCTCTTTTATTTAACAGCTGACAATTACAGATAATTTGAAGCTAAGCTACATCTCCAGTGAAACATGACATTAATTTTGTTAATACAAAATTTTCCAAATTAACACACTGGCAAACCTGGATATCTGTAAGATATCCGTTCACTGTCTCGGTTTATACTTCCTTTTGCCATTTGCTAACGAAGAATCAGTAAAAAGTTACCACTCTACTGCTTTCCATACACAAAAAAGCACAGCCCTGTCCGTTAAATCCTACTTTACTCAGCAATTTGAAATGTACCCTAAGACACGACATGTTGAACAAGTGTGTGACGGCAGAAAATGTGTTACAGTATACAATCTCATACGGTATGAAGCACACAGTCTCAGGGTGGACAGTGTCCTCAGTGCTGTACCCCATCATCTTACCGTGCCATGGCTGAGATGCTGTGGAAGGTGCAAATGCAAGAGGCGCTCCCAGCAGGCTGCTGCCCTGGTGTGCATGGCTCAAGATTAATTTGTTTGCTTACTGACTGTTTTACAGAACAGGATGTTAACAAGGCATCGCCTGCTCCCAAGTGAGTGCCAGTTGTGACTTGAGAGAGCCTCTGCTGGGGAGCCACCAGGGTCTAGCTGTTAATGAATCATTTAAAGTCAATGGGGTCAGCTGCTGGAAAGGATGGATACCCTCTGACACCTTCTTCCTGCTCACACACAGTCATTTTGCCATGAAACTGCTTCTGGCTACCCACTTGAGGAGAAGGGAAGCAGGAAGCAGCCAGCCCGTGCTGGGGCTGATCTTTCTCCACAAGCACAGCCCACACAGCCTGCCCCATGACACGAGGCAGAGGTGACCTCCTCCAGAGGCACATTCTGCAGAGGGTGGGCAGCCTACCTCTCTCTGATTTCCACCTCCTCGGGCTCACACTCTGGGAGGGGAGCATCCTTCTCTGCCCCCACAGAGGCGCAGACCTCGGCAGCCTGTGGGGTGGGCTGCTTCTCCTCCGAGTGCTGGTTGCAGGGGTACTCGTGGCTCTCACACTCCTCCTCCGAATCCGAAGAGGAGCTCTCCTCGGAGCTGGAGTCATCGCTGGATGTGGTCTCATACCTGTGGGCAGAACGGGCAGGGCAGAGATGCTTGCTCAGTGCCATTCAGCAGCCGCCAGTACCTGCTTGCACTGGTGTAAGTGCGAAAATGTTCTGCAAGAGCTTTGTCCTCCTGTTTTTACCTCAGAGACCTCTTCTACTCACTGAACTCAGTGTTACTGACAAATGACACTGTCAGTATTACGTACACAGTGTGTAATGAAAGAACAACAACCTCTTTTAAATGTAAGTCTTAACATTTTGTCAGCCTTGCCTTATTCCCAAAATGAAATTACGTTGTTCAGTGTAAATTTTATTGCCTTACTAGATATAAGCAGGGAAGCTAACAAACCTATGATAACTTTCCCTTACAATATGTAATGATACTTTTAGCTAATATGTAGGAAATTAGGTAAGTGAGATATTCAGGCTACATACCGTACAAAGCATTTGTACTAAAGAATAGCTAATCTGAGGAAAGAGATAGAAAAGCTATATAAAAACAATTTGATGAAACCATTTCAAAGGTTTTCGTAAGGGCAAGTAACATTTTTTAAGAAGACAATTTTCCATACTATCTTCTGTATTTGTACAGGATGGTCTCTGTATATATTTAACACAAAGTCTGAAAAATTAATTCTAGGGCAATGGCATCGCTTGCTGTATTGTTTAATAGCATAATGCTGCGCTTGTCAGCTACCAAAGATACATACAAGTTTTCCTTACTAAAGCATTGCTTGAGAAATATCCCTATGGCTGTCTGAGGTTGTTTCATTTTCCTGTGGTAAATCTGGCAGCAATGTAATGTACAGGTACTTGAGACTGGTATCATATATGACTTGCAAGCACAAGAGGATTAAGAGCAGCTCAGCTGCTCAATTCTTCCTTCTGATCCTTGCACTCAATAGTTGCACCTCAGCCTGAAGGACAGGCCAAACCCATGCATGTGTTCCTGGGTTCCTTCTCTTCTTCCCACTGTGAAAAGTGCTGCAGTAACAGATGTTTTGGAGACAGGTCTCTTACCCGCCATTAATGCCAACAAACTGCAGGTTCTTCTTGGTGTTGCTCAAATCCTTCTTCCCATCTCTTTTCTTCATGATAGATTTGAGTGTGTTCTCATTATTAGTACATACTGTTAGAAAGGGAGACAAAGCACACATATCAGTATAAATCCGTAGCCAGCTTTGAATGCAGCAGCATTATAGCTGATTTTTCAAAACAACTCTATTTTTCAACAGCTATCTGTGTAATTTACCATCTGAAGATGGTTTTCTAATATGCATACAGTCATGGTTTGATATGCACATCGGAAACCCAGAACAACAGCTTCAAAATCAGCTCTCTTAATTAAAAAGTTGTTAGTTAGTTAAGCCTAACTTTTCCCACTTAAAACATGCTGCTAATCTTTGTGATGTTTTAGAACACTTTAAGACATGAGCTTTTTGTTTTTCTTTGCTATTTTTGAAATACTTCGAACACTAAAATAGGTTATTCTGTTAACAAAATCTTAATTCTTTGTGTCAGAGAGCAGCAGCTCCTTGCCAAAATGAACACATTAATATAGACAGCATGTTTAACATTACATACAGAATATTTAACAAACGATTCAACAGGGTAGGTAGGTTCAATCAAGGACCGTCTTCTAGATTTAGTATTCATTGAAACAACTTTTACACCAATCTTTATGCAAAGGACAGGTAAAACATGTATAAAAATTTAAGCATTTTAAAAAGTCATTATTAACCCTCTATCTTTCAGTAGATTTTTCATAGGAAGACTAAATGTCATTTCACTGATGCACTACAATCTTGCCATTTAAAAGCTCACCACTACCTGTAGACACACAGTGTCACACAGTGACTTGACCCTCAGCTGCATCTTTTCCTGCTTTTTGCATTTTTGAGAATATCGATAACCTTCTTTAACTGTATTTCATATTCAGACTCCACCAGCATGATGAAAGGTGAATGTGAGCCAGTCATTACCATAGAGACCTGAGGCCAGCTGATCATCCGTCAGGTTAATGGGAGCAAGAGCTTTATCCTGAGAGGAAAAAGACTTCCTTCCCCGAGAAGCTTCCACCAGGGGAGTCTTCCTCTCCTCCTCTGTGGGCACAGTGTCCTGCTCCAATTTCAGTGTTCGCAAATTTGAAGTTAAGTGTGTGTTTGCAAGTTGGCCATGAGGGATGTACTCCAAAGTAGCACCTGCCAAAGAAGACAGCAAGCATCATGGAGGAGTCAAACAAAAGTATTTCCATCAAAAGTTTTTTTCCACAGGAAAAAAAAAAACAAACTGGAAAAAAAGGGCAATGCTTGTCCTTTAAAATACGCTTTTCTGAGGACCTAATAGGAAAAAGACTGTGATTGTTTTCAGAAAATGCAAAAAAATGGCCATGAGTTTTTCTTTTGATAAAGACATACAATACAAAGACAAGCTATAAAGATTTTGACTTTAAAATGCATGAAAGGAATGGTCCTTCTTTCTCCTTCTCTTTCAGTATGAGCAGTGACCTCAGCTCCTGCAGCCCTAGTCAGGGTGGGCTCACTGAGCTGCTCTTCGATGAAACGCCTGAAAAGCACAGCACGTTCACAGGCTCTGAAGGTTTTTTCTGCATGTAACCTTTTTGTTGTACTTGTTTTTTAAGATATGTCATTTTCCATGAAAGAAGAAAATTTTCAGGAATTTTTCCTTTTTTCCCAGTACTCAAACTAATTCTGAAAGCTATGTGCTTTGCCCAGTTACTGAGAAAACTGCAATAAACTCCCACACACTACATTTCTTTCTTTCTTTTTTTTTGGTCAGGATTGTAGTGAGCCAGTAGTTGTATTTAAATCAAATTCCAAATGTTTGGGTTATACTTTTTTCCCTTGCTGATTTGCTGGCGTTCACTCACTTTTTCCTGTTGTGCATTCAAAAGGCAGTGCTAATTACACACAGACTTTTACAGACTCCCCTGGAGTTAGTCCAGCTGTGCTATTACAACTTCTCTACAAATCTGCACAAATGCTTTTGTCTGTGGAACACAGAGCGTTTTTTTACACACATGTCTCCCTAAGTGATCTTGTTAGCATTTAAGGAAAAAAAAAGCTGAAGTTGCTTCAAACTTGTTTCAAACATTATCACTTTTTTTTTCCACTGATTTTTTGCTCCATGATGTGCGCCTCCGTATTATTTTTTGCCTTTGTATTTATCAAGAATTAAGGTACAGCCTTCTCATTCAAATACGAGTGGCACTGCACAGGGTGCTAATACACTATAGTAAGGTAAATTCCAAACATTAATTTTTAGACACACAGCTACATCTCTGTCTACCAAGCTGTTCATTTTAGACTGCCTTTTCCCCTTGTTACTTCACCTCAGTAAATTTTTCCCACAACAGGACGTAACCAAGCTTATTTTTCCAAACACTGTCACTTCCCAGCAGCTTCCTCCTTTTTGCTCCCATTCCCACCCAAGTCTCTGAGATTCCAACCAGGTGTCACCCCACATGTGTTTCCCACAGCACCCTTCTCCAGCAGTGAGGCCCATTGCCCAGCTCCACCATGGCTTATAGCTTCTCCAACACACAGGTGAAGCTGTCTGCAGGAAGGGCATGCAGCAGGGTCTCGACAGTCATGTCACTACAAGCACAGCACAAAGGCTCTTCCTTAGGAGTGAAGTGTGTGTGTGTGATGGTGGCAGCTTCCCGGGGCCCTCTGCATAGGAGCAACCCTTCTGGAGACATGTCTGAGCACCTGGACACCCATGAAAAGCAAGAGGGAAGTCCTGCCCTTGCTCCCCCACCACTCCCCACGTTGCAGCACTGACAAACTTTGGTCAGGTCTCTTCCCAACAGCAAGCACCAGCCCTCATTCAACAGCTGAAGAGAAGAAGGCTGCCAAGGTGGTAGAACAACAAGCCAAAACCAATGATTTTTTTTAACTGCCTTAAGCTGAAAACAAGCAACTGTGTCTTTGCTTGCTTAAAGCTGTGACAGGTACAATTAAAGAGTATCAAGCACAGTAATCATTTCCAGCCACAGCTGGTGGTGGCTGCCTGGGCTGGTTTTACCAGGTCACCCCTTCTGCTCCAGACTGGCCTCTGAGGACATGGGAAGGAGTAAAGAAAACCTGCTCTGAAGTATCCAGGGATATGCAAAGAGTCCAAAGATGCCCTGGTTTGTTTTCAGCAGAACTGTCTGCATCCTCTGCCAGATATCACAGTTCTCCTACAAAAGCAGCTGTGACAACCATGGTGTGTCTGGAGGCAGAGGTGGGCTTGTGCATGCCAGAGCTGAGGGCAGGACTCTGGCAGGGCAAAGTGGGGCTCCAGCCTGAGGTGAACCAACAGCAGCAGCTGGTGGACCCCTGTCATCCCCCAAAGCCTGAGCCTGAATTTCCCAAGGTGTCTCCCTCCTGCCCTGGGACAAGCAGGGGAGGGAGCTGCAGGGCAGGACAGACAGAAAGGAGGACAGTAGTAGACTTCTGTCCCCTGATTCACAGCCTCTCCTGAACCTGCCACCAATGCAACATGATTTCAGTAGGTTCTCTCTTCTGGTACATGCACCATTGGCTGAGAAGCATGATACTGAATTGAGGATCTAGGGCATGATGTCCATGCCTTCCAATGAAGAAGAAAAGGGCTCTGCTCAGCTGGCCCCTGGCACCTGACAAAAGAGGATGACATCGAGACTTGAGGGCAAGGAGACAATAAATGTGCATTAGGCTAACCAGTCAGTGCACTTACTCTCCCTGCAAAGCTCTTAGATGTCTACACTTACTGCATGCACAGTACCCAATGACGAGGGAAAGAGAGCTTTGGGTTCAACTCAGTATTAATGCTGCAAGCTGTTAATTATCATTTAATATCAGCTCCCAGGCCTTCCCCTTTTCAAGACAGCAAACATAAACCTGGAGAGCACTCAAATCACTGAGAAAAACATACCATGATTTACTACACTGATCCACTGCTGTGCTAACCAAAAAGCCAAATGAACTGAATTCCTTCTTCCTCCAACAGAACTGCAGGGCCACTCTTAGGGCTGGAGGTGGCACACACCTCTCCAGTGTGGGAATGAAACCCTGGCTGAAGATCACCACCAATCTACACAGATCTTAACACAGACTCTTCCTCTCACTTCACAGAGATCTCAAGTATGCTTGAGCAGAATCCCTCTCCAGGTTGTGGTGCACAGCACTGACAGCAAAAACAGGTCAATACTTAGTCAGGCACTGCCTCCAGACAGAGACCCTTGGGCAGGCTTGCCCTGATGATATTCCTTAGCTTACAGTTCCAGGTAAATTCTGCAAACATGATTTAAGTTTCTAAGTACTGATACAGAATAGCAAATACAGCAGGGAGTTGTCAAAAACTTCTTATGTATTTTGCAACATAGTAGAGGATTTTGGAAAAAATCAGGAGTAATTTAGAGGCAAAAGTATGACACAACAGAACAAAAAAAATTTGCTAACTTCAACTGTACATAAACACGCAGAAAGCTGCTCTCATCAGTTTCAGAGGGAAACATGTGATTGCAGCATCTTCAGGGGTATAGCTCCAACGGTTTGAAGGATCGAGAGCATCTGTTTTTTATTTTTTAGAAGGAATCTCCTCTCATAAATCATTTGTGCTTCTTTTGAAAATCTCACCAATTTAAACTAGCAAAGCTGCTACAGAGAAGCAACAGATTACCCATGCCATTTCTGGCACCTATACTATCTACATACTATGATTAGGATGCAATTTTCCTTCCTAACTGCAGACCTTCCCTTACATTTATGACACCACAAGTAGTCATGCTGTTAGCTAGCTCAGGGAATTCAACAGATTCTTTTGAAATTGTGATGAACTCATGGAAACAGAAGTCTGGCCTTCATCTGCTTTTGAAAATTTCCATTTAGTTTGATGGAAGCAAACCTAAGTATTATCATAAAAACAATTTAGCTTGACAATACTTTTATCCCACTGGAAACAAGAGAAGTGCAAACAAGACCGGGGGATTAAATAGCATCAGGATGAGAACCTAGCTCTCTGGCTGGAACATCACAGGCTTCTAGTTTAAAAAAGCACAGAAGCTTACTGTGTGGTAGCTGTGCAAAGATTTTATTTTTAACCTTTTGGTCAGTGCAAGCATTTATTTGCACAATATGTTTATAATGGTCAGTGATACAAGCTACACATTCCCCACTAAAGACAGTGCACAAATACTGTCTGGAGCATATATAGCAAGGAAATACTTCTCTTTCACACAGCAAGTTTTCTTCATGGTAACAAAAAGCTCACTGCAAAATTATTTCAACTCAAGTACTCTCCTCCAGTGCTTTTAAATCTACATGCCTAAAAAACTTTTTTTAAATATAAATTATTTTAATCCACTTTCAATTTGGTCAACTTATCAGAACTGGTTAAGAAAAAAACCCATTCTACTAAGGTACATAAAAAGGCAGTAATGAGCAAACATGCTATGTTTAAACATTTACAACGATTGATAGAAACCCATCCAACTGCTGAATGCAGTATCTTCACAAGACTAGAGCAGTTTCATTATAAAAGGTACTTTTGAGCCATTCCAGGTTAAAAATCAGTGAATTTAAAATTTCAAAACAAAAAATTTTCACACATTAGCTTTTTATACAATAAACTGACAGAAGGCATTCTCTTGGGGCCCAGACATGGGCAGATGATGAACCACCATTCAGCTCCAGGGAAAACACTCCTAATAGGATGAAGGCTCTAGTGAGAGGACTGCAAGAACAATCTAATTTTCACTCTCACTTTAATTGTTTTCTCTGTGCAGAGAAGCTGCTTTCCATCCCCAAATTAGATTGTGAATCCAGTTTCTTGAAACTTGAAGTTGAAACCAATTATTTTCATTAAACATGACTGACCACAAAAGATCACACATCTTGAAGCAGCTAATCATCTTATTTATGAAATGCTCTCTTTTCCAAGATGACAGTACATGAAGCTTGGTGAAAGCCACCCTTCATCTCCCCAAGGAGTGGTGGATCAAAGCATCTCATGATGCTGGGCATAGTCGGAAGGTCAGCTTGGAGTACTTCTTTCTTTTTCATTCATGTGGATTTGATTCTATCAGCTGATGCTTATTGTTGCTGAAATATGACAACCCTTCACTGGAAAAATGGGAATCTCTTGCTATTAAATATTCATAGCTGTGCCTGTTACCATGGGAGCTGAACTCCAAACAAAGCTCAATGTCTGAACATTATATCCCTGTGCCACACCATAGGGAGAGAACTGGGGCTCTGTCTAACAGACAGCTTAGCAGGCTGCAGATTGCCATTCTCTAAGCAGCAATAAATTTGAAGGGAAAAATAATCTATACTGTGGCAAATTATGCTCTTTGCTAACTGAAACAAAAGCCAGGAGATAGAGCAGCTTTTAGATTCAAACACTGCATGTAGTACTACCATTGAACTAAACCAGCAAATATTATAATGCTAATAATGACAACAGTAATAAGCTTGTGTTAACATATGACCAAGGAAGGTACATCAAACCTCTTTGAAGAGGTATACGGAGGTTGGTACCATTTTTGAATGGCATTCCCATTTGAGCTTCCCATGTTGTCACAACTAGCAGAAACCACCTGCCACATGAGCCATGCAGAGGAGGCACTGTATTCTCTGAGACACCAGCCAGCCACACACAAATAAACAGTACTCATGTAGCACTTAGGTGGGACCATCTGCATGGCTGTTTTGCATCATGCACTACCTTCCAGGGAATGTGGAACATGCTGCACGTATGTCAGCCACCTTCTTCCCAGCAGGGTGAGGGATGGATCCTGTTTGTTACACAAGCAACAACATCTGTACAGAAACGTAATCTGGTGATTAAGGCATGCATCTGTGGCAGCTGCAGCTGAGGACCTCCTTCACTTGCCCAGACATAGGCACAACACCTGCGATTTGTAGCAGCCCCCAGCTTTACAGGATCACCCCCATTCCTGTGCCCCATCAGCACAGGCTTCTGAGCCTCAAGCAAGCCGTGAGTCTGCAACTGCAGTAGCATGATCCGTGCTGCCAGGAGAAAAGTTACTAACCTGTCAAACCACACAGTCTTCGAGACAAAGGTCAAACACAAGAGCTGCAAAGAAAAGCAGCTTTCTCCAATTTCCTGCATTACAAGACAGAAGACGACCGTGTTCACAGTACCTCATTAGTCCTACACACCAATTTTGGAGAACCAGGGGCTTCTCACATCACCATTTTTCTGGTCTCCCATTGTCCGTCAGCCCGCTTCCCCAGCTCTGGTTAGAACTTAGAAGTTTAAATCCTTGGAAGATTTTCCACCAGATGGCACATCAAGATTTCCTTACCCCTCTAGACTTCCTGACACCCCATGCTTCCCATTTTTTTCACTCCCTGAAGTTTTAACTCAAGAAGCTGCCTCCTTCCTCATGATGACTAAGTAGCGTAATGCTTCCACTGGGACACTCAGTCAAGACTGTTCTAAAATAAAAAATAAAACTGATATCTAAAGATCACTGAGGCAAAACAGCAATGCACTTCTCAGGTCAAATATGCCCAGGTAATTTTTCAGGGCAATGGCAGATCAGCTGTTTTTAAATACCATTCTTGAAAACTCCCTGCTATTGGAAGACAGCTACCTTGTGAAAAGACCTGTGAAAAGTCCATGTTATTAGAACCCGTACAAGTGGCATTAGGCTTCTGGCTGGTATCTTGCAAAGCACGTTATATGACCATTCAAATATAACATCCTGAAAATACTTTAAAAATCTAGTGCAACAAACAGAGGAGATGAATACACTCGCCTCCCTTTAGGCTTCCTATACACTGTCTGGTCTAAGAACATGGATCAGTTAGCATCTACGTCTGTGACCCACATCCATATGGATAAGCTGGACACACAGGCTGCCGAGGCCAGCTAACATGACTTTGCAGAGTGGAAATGTGCTCGTCTGGTCAGTGGGTTTCAATTCCCTATGGTCACTAGGGCTTCTGAAAGACAGTACATATGTAAATGTTAACGGTAGTTGCCAAGTTACAGAGGGGAAGGTAATTATTTAGCAATAAACGAAATACCAATTACTAATAGACTTGGTTCAGAGATCATCTCAGCAGTGTAAGGTGTCTATGGATGAAAACTGCCAGCTCCACCTTCCCTGCCTGTGTTTCCATCACCTGCCACAAGCTGTGTCAGGGAAGGAGAGATGGCAGAGGCCCCTGCAGCACATCCTGTCTCCCCAGCAATAAAAGGGAAAAGAATCTGTAAAGCTGAGAACTTCTGATGTGCCACCTCAGAAGCAGCACAGACCACTGATGTATTAGCATGGCAAACTGGTACCCAAATCATATGCCTCAAAGCGAGCTCAGGTATTTTTGCCCTAAAAGAAACTGGCCTCTAAGATATACTTCCTAAGGATGCTCTTTGAATAAGGCATTAAAGATGACATTACTGATGCTAACTGGAAACTGACACTTCAGCCTGTTTTTCTAAAAAAATGAGGCTTGTGCAGTCACGCTCCTCTCAATAGCTTCAGCTTGATTGCTTATTTGAACTGAACTGGAATAGAGACTCAGTGCTCTGAAGGCTCTTTTGTTGATACAAGCTTTACAGAAATCAGCCAGAGATGCCAGGCCTGGAGAAAAGGACACTGGCTGAGTTCACACACACAACACCTGAAAAGCTACATTCAAGAGAACTAAATATGAGGAAAAAGAATTAAGAGCTCACAAGCTATCATGAAATATTGATGCATGGAAAAAGAAAGGCTTTAACAGTTCCAGTGATTACGGAATTATTCAAGTTGGTGCTTCATTCAGAAAAAAATGCTTCTACATAAATACATAACACATGATCTGTAAAACCATAAGAAAGGGCAGCAGGACCAGTGTATTAAAGACAATATTGTCAAAATTAATAGAAAGAGATAGGGTAACATTTCAAGCTTAAGACTTCTTTTCCACTCCAATTCTCCATGGGTCTAAACTGTTATAGACCATAGCTTGATTTATGTGTACAGTCCAGGCATCCCTCACCAGGGACTAAAAATAAAGAAATTTTACACTCATCATCCACAGCTAAAGATAATGGCATTACAAGTTAAAATAAAATTATTCCAGAATAATATTATCAGGAATGTGAAATCTGAATCCAAGTATGAACATTTTTAGTAAATATGATCTGTTTCTCCACCTGTGTCTAAATGCTTTCAAGCCTCTTGACTACACATTTGATACTGTGCAGTAAAAGCTGGGAAAGGAATTAAGGATTTACAGCTAGTGATGACTTTGGTTCACTGTTTTTACAGACACTTTTGATGTCTGCTAGATACTACTACTATTATTATTATTATTATTATTATTATTATTATATCATTACTTGTAAGAAGTCCAGCATATAAAGTGCATACCAGAAAGATAATAATATTGCTTATATAGTATCATATTGCATGTATGCAGACAGAATATCCTATGTTTTCCTTACTGCTACATAAATATTGCTTATTCCTTCACTATGGGAACATAAACCTTTTGCCTCAGCTCATGAAATAGATGGTTCTATTTAGCACATGAACACGAAAAAAATTGGATTTATCAAGCTGCATTTTAACAAAAATATGCAAATTTTAAGACAGCATGCAAGCTGTAAGAGCTTCATATAGCTATTTGGATTAGTCAATAGCATTATGCTGACATTAAATAGTATATAGAGTCAGGGTTTTTTTCCGATTCAGCATCTACAAGACAGATGCATTTGCGTCCATTTTTCTCACCTCCCTAACCTCTTGTTTCAGTCACTGGATGGCAGGAGCAAGAAGAAAGTATTTAACAGTCACCGCCAGGCATTACATATTGGTTTCCATGAAGCCACTGTTCATAAACTTAATAGTTATGTGGTTGGATTCACCAATAAGATATTAGGAAAAAAATTGCTTAGTTTTAAACTAAACTATCAGACACATAAAAAACTAAAATTAAAAAGTAATCAATCCCAGGGAATAAAGAAATCCCTCAAACTAATTGTATTTTTTAATTAATAAATAAAAGGCAAGGAGTGTTTAAATCAAAATTCTCGTCTTTCCTGAGTGTCACCAAAACCTCCAGCAGTAATTATGCCTTTCAAACACGAGGTTTTAACTAGGGATTACGACAAACAGTTACTGGAACAGAGAAAGCCCAAGATGTGGTTTCTGTGAAGTGCTCTGGAGTTGCCTATTAAAAAGCAATCAGCCCTGCTGGAATGGGGAAAGCACCCCACAGCTCTCTGTCTGAGCAGCACAAGGAACAAAGGCAATGTGCTCTTGGAATAAACACGACAAAATCCAGGCAAATGTCTGTGTAAACAAATCAGTTTGATACAAACACTGTAGGTGACTTTCAGCTCTGTCAAATCTGACACTTGTTTTTTAAAAACATGTAATGCCAAGTTTAAAATTCCAAGCCCATGGGCATTAACCTCAAATACTCTTAAAGTTATAACGTTAAGTCATCACATTGCACAGTGGTTAAACCTTCCAAAATTTTAGACATCTCTCTTGCATGGTCAGAGCCATGGCACCATCATCATCAGGACCTTCAGAGCCTGCTGGACTGGGAGAGATAAAATTGTGTTTGCTTTTTCAGCTACCAGCAATGGGCTGGACGGAATACCCAATGGGGCACATTCAAAAACAATCCTATGCTCTCTGCTTCCTTGGGGAGGGCTATACAGTGGCTTTCAGACTAATAAGAGAGCCCAGTAGGCAACTGACCTGCAGCCCTGGGAAAGAGGTGAACAATGCACCAGATGTGGGCTTACCTGATGAGGTGCTTCTCTCCATGCACTGCTTCTGAAGGTCCAGGCTCCGCAGCTCCTCTGTACTGGCGTATTTCATGACAGAGTTAATGGAGGTGAGGGTGCTGATGAGTTGTGAATTGAGAGATCCAATCTGGGAGTGAGGCTGCCCAAAGGCTTCTGCCAATTCACTGTAATTTTCAGCAAGCAGCATCTGCTGCTCCTGCAGCAGCTTCTGCACACGTTCAATGTAGTGATCCAAGCCTGTCCTCAGCTCAGGTGGAGGCAGAGGGCTCTCCAGCTGACCACTGACTGGGGTGCACACAGGCTCTCCCCCAACACCTATGCTCCTCGTGCCAGTTGGGACAACCGGCAATGGAGGGGGTCCACAGGCAATGCTCCTCATTTTCAGACCAACCAGGTAGTTCTCATGAACACTTATCTGTCCAATGCCACAGTCTTTGGTTTTTATGGCAGAAGGCTTTTCAAAGCCAGGGTGGCTAGAGAGGACAGTGCCCACTCCAACCGAACGCACCTTAGCAGACGCGTGTATGTCCTTCACCCGGCCATCCCCTACTGCCACACTCCGCAGCTCCACACCGTCCGTGCTGGTCTGCTTATCACAGCTGCTCACAGTGGTGTTAGTCCCACAGTCTGCTAGGCAGGCTACCTCCGTGCTGGTGCACTGGCTCACCATCTCCAAAGCTGTGCTGGTTTGCTGGCTAGCCATGGAAGGCACGGCCATCACCATTGCCTCCGCCCTGGGAACAGCCTCTGTGGCTGTTTCACGGGAAACGTGTTCCTTGGGCACACAGACCACCACATCCACCAAGCAGTCCCCGCAGCCGACAGACCTCACTGCTCCAACCCGCGCCTCTGCCATCTGGCAAGGGCTTGGCACCTCCGACGGCTCCTCTGTGTTGATGCCCATCTCACAGACACTTGTCTCTGTGCCCACTGACTTATCATGCAGCTCCATGGACCTCCCTGTGCCCTGATCCTGCACCTCTGCCCTCTCCCTCACCAGCCATCGGTTCATCAGGAGCTCGGGGCCCGCGGCCGTGCTCCGCGTGGCAGGTCTGCAGGACGTGCCGATGCTGCTTGTCTGCAGATGGTTTCCCACCGACGAATCAGCAACATCCACGTGATCTCCCACCATTTGGTCTCTCGTTTGTACGACAGCCTCCACCATCCTACTGACAACACAGGGCTGAGCCATCATGGCTTTATCCACCTTTTTTCTAGACCCAGCTGCTTGCAACTCCTGTTTTAACTTGGTCATTTCCCTGTCATGGGTGGTTTCCTTTAACTGAACCTCTAGTCTGTAAATCTTCTCCTTAAGGGCTTCGATGGTCTGCTGCTGAAGCTCTATCTCTTTTTCAACCTCTGTAGACAATCCAAGCATGGCCTCTGTCACCCCAACTCCACACTCCCTCATTTCTTTCTCTGTTCCCACAGCTACTTCTTTGTGGTGCCTTGCAGATCTGTTGTATATAACGATATCGTTCATGTTCTCATCAGCACCCACAGCAACAGATCGGGCTTCTTTTGTCAGGCCTTCTCTGTTCACCCGAAGGTTTGCTGGACTTTCGTAGTTACTATCTTGGATTTTTTTCTCCAAGGCTTGCATCTCAGCAGTCAGCTGCCTGAACTCCTCTATCCTCTGAGAGCTCTGCTCCACACTCTCCATCTCTTCCTCACAATCTATATACAGTTCTCCACCTCTTCTCACCTGAGACATGTGCTCCCACTGCTCTGCATTTCCTGCACTATAGGACCGCTTTCTGAAACCGTATGTGTCATTTTGAGTGGCTTTCCTGTGGTTTTTGAGTTCAGCCATCATGTGCCTCTTCTCTTCCTGCAACACTGAAATTTTGACCTGCAGCACAGGAATAGTCTTGACTTGCTCCTCAAGCTCCTTGAGACGCTTGAGGGCAACTGCCATTTGCTCCCTGATGTGCTGCAGATGCACAGGGCTCACGTTGGTGACCGGTGTGGATATTCCTGAGCTCATGGGGCTGTGACGAATGGAACTGCCTAATGAGGAGCTGAAACAGGCACCATAGTCACCATTCCCCTGATACCCATTCTGCAGGTGCTGAGACACATGACTGTATCCACTGGATCCCACAAAAGAGGGGAGAGAGCTCGTGGAGCCCATGCCTCCAAAGCTGGAGAGTCGAGGCCGGCGGACATCTCCAGGTGTGACCTGCATCATCCTCTCCTGCTCCAGTCGCCTCCGTGTTTCCATGAGGGTTTTTGTTACAAGGAGGTTGTGCCGAGGAGGCTGGGGGGAGGGAGGAGGAAGCTGTTTAATCTCTGGAACAGTTAAGTAGTTAGGAGATACTTCAAAGGAAACTGAGGGTTTTGCAGGGACGGACAAGGTTACTTGACTCCTCGTTGCCAAAGACTGCTTGTTCTCATCACTGTTCGATGAAGAGAGAGACTCTGTGGAGGTCCAGCCACTGCACTGGCCACCAGAGTTCTTGGTGCTCACCGAGGCTGGTACAGCTTTCCTCCTCTTTCGTATATTCAGTTTCTTAATGGTATTCCCCTTTTGTATATCATCCACGTACTTCAGAAAATCCAAGTCTAGCTGGTATCCATAAGGTGTTTCCACAAAATAGGGATCTCTCCGTTCTTTTTCATCTTCTCCATTTATAGTAACTTCCTCTTTTTCTGGAAAAGAAGAAACAAAATCAGCATTCAGTAAACTACATACTCACACACAAGCGTAGAAAGACGGTGCTCACTGCATGCCGGAGGCAGAAATTGCTGCTGCAGCTCAGCGAACAGACCAACTTTCCGCTGACTGACCCTTAACACTAAATCCCGATTAACTTTTTAAAAGTTAATCAGTGGGTTTTCAAATGCTGAGAAGTGCATACCCACATAAATGTGAACACATGCATACGCACAGAGAGCGTCTGTTAATGAAGGGGCATGGCCAGTAGCTCCAAACTGTCTTTGCCCAAATCCTCCCAGTCTTCCTATGCCGCACCAAGCTTTAACACATGCTATGTTATCATGGAAAAAAACACAGGATTAAAATGTACACGAATCATCTGGAGACAACTTCTCTAGAGGGTGCATTCAAGCAGCCGATAGGAACTCTGACCCCGTTCGTTATACAACTGATGCCATTAGACTTTACACAGCTCTGCAGCGCTGTTTCATGGCTCTGGGAAGTGCCGCCGCCAACTATTCGCACCACAGCTCATATTACTTCCACCAGCACCTCTGCCTCTTTCATTTTAAACTCCGTGAAGCTCCCACCACCACGACAGGCAGCAAGATCCCTTCCAGCAGGGTCCCAAACCTCATTGTTCAGGGACAAGCGTCATACAAGAGGTGCACCCACCTGCCCTCCAGACACAGGACTCACCTGTTCCTGAAGCAACATTAATAAAAAAGCTCAGTACATGTGCTGGGTTTTCTCAGGCTACGCATTTATATGCAGCACTGCCATACAACCTGCTCCTCCCGCCTCATACTTGGAAGGAGGAAAAATACAAATAAAGAAAAAAAAAGAAAAAAAACAACGGAAAAACAACTATTGCGAGTTAAGCTCTGGAGGAATAATAAAAGCCAGCTTTCCGGTTACCTGACTTAGCCACATGTCTCAGCCCCCACACTGCAAATCTTCCAGCCACGTATGGCTGTCCCAGCTTCATGTGTCACACGGCGGAGCCCTGCCTCCCCGCGGCTCGCCGCTGCCTGGCCCCATAAGGAAGCGGCGCGCTGCCCCCTCGGCGGCCGCGGGCACAGAGCCGCTCCGCGCCTTCTCACAGCAACACCCGCCTCAGCCAAGGAGGAGGCAGGCGGCAGAGCGGAGGGGAAAAAAAAAAAAAAAAAAAAAAAAAAAAAAAAAAAAAAAAAAAAA